GTGATCTTGTATTTGAGCCTGATGATGACTGAGAGCGCGGAAAATCTTTGTGTACGAGGCGATTGAGATTGCCAGGCAAGATGATATACCTATAAGGGTGTACCAAAAGGCTATACGATAATTGAGATGAAAGGATAAACCAGCGACTAGACATACAACCCAAACGATAGCTAAAATGATATACGTGCACCTCATAGTTACAATCTCTTTGTATCTCAGTCCCGATAATAAGGCGAGAAGTCGGTCCACGCTTATGGCCGCCATTGTAAGCAAAGAAACTCCAGACAACATAAAGCCTGATATGTAGCATGCGTCCCTTGCGCATCGACAAAGACTCCAATGCTCGTGAACCACGGACATCGAATAAGTAGCACAGAGAGGCTGGCTAATAAGACCAACCAACAGATCAGTTGTTACCAGACAACGATAAAAGAGTTTGGATGGCGGATGTAGGGAAGATTCATTGTGAAGGGCAACAAGGATAAGAGAATTCCCAAGAATTGCTGCGATGGAGAGGAGAATGTTGATTGTTGAGAATGAAATGGACTATTGTTTAAACTCAACTACCCAAACCGGAAAGCATACCAATATCTCAAATGTTTTCGTCTGTGTTCCATTTCCTGTTATATTTGTTGTCGCTATCATCGTGCTATCGTTTCCGCCTCTTCGCGCATTATCCTTAGTTACAACGGGGAATACTCGTTGTAACCCTCTAAGATAAGATCAGTTTAACCTTAGTTATTGAATAACAATTACAGAGAGTGCAAATTCATAACTAGCGTCTGACTATGTAAAATGCCCGAAGGCTGTGAGGTTTGTCACACAAAAGAGAAAAAAGGCGGGTTTCTCTGCGCGATTTGAATTAGAAATAAGAGGGAGGAAAATTGTGTTTGTGATAATTATACAATAAAACAAAACAAAAACCTTTTCACCTGAATAAACCACCAGTAATAGGATATCGAAAGTCAACGGATAGTCGGTCGACAGTCGACCGATTGTTTGCCGACGCCTTTACCAACGCATCGGCCGACGTCTTGTTTGCGTGTTAGCAGCTTTTGTACTCGATTGTCATTAAAACGAGAGAATGTTTTCTCATAATACCAGCTGTGTGTACACGGCCTGTGGTGGAGTCACGAAATCTTCTTGAATATTCGAATTTGTTAATAAAGGTGCTTTCAAAATTACTTGCTCGAAGAAATTTATGGATAACCCCCTGAGGGCTACAATTTTGTACTCGATAAACAGTCTTAACTGATGCAGATAACAGACTGATAAACAGCTAGTCTTATCAACCATGTTAGAGTCTTGGCTCTATTTCTTATTATAAGTTTCTTCTGTCATAAACTTGCCCTCCGGCAAACTATAAGTGAAAATAGTGATAATCAACTCATTTTCTAAGAACTGACTTCAAAATATTTAAACAGATGAAAACAAAGTCGACATATTTTTGTTATAAGCAAATCGAGCCTGTGGCTCTTGTTACAATCCGTTCACACTTAACCGTGTATCTGAGCCAAAATGACAAAACAGCAAAATGGTAAGCGCATTC